TTTCTGTTTTTTCTTTTTACATATTTTGTTAAAAGGCCAAATAAGGAATTCAAACCAAAAAAATAATAATTTTCTGTTTTGTTTTATTCTTGGATCAGACTTTAAAGGGTTAAACCCCATTGGCTCACCTCATTTTCTGACATGAGAATCTAAAATAATTTCCCAGAGCTATAAAACCCCAACAAGCTTTGATTGCATTAGGAAGTATTAATACCTTCTCGGTTTGACTCACAAACATCTTTGTCGAGTCGGAAACGGACAATGAAGCACAACGGATTATCCATAAAAATGCTGGTGTATTTATCGACAGGGGGAGTATTGTCTGAGTCCCCTACACCTCCGCTAAACACTCAAATGCAGCATGAAATGCATATAGAGTCCTGCCAAAAAGTGCTGAGAAGGAGTCTGGCCCTGGACAACCATGCATGACAAATCCCTCTCTCACCATCTGCTCTATTGTCCACAAGTAAAGATAAGTCTTGCAGGACCGAACAAACACCGAATATTTCCGCACGATTATGCCAAGCACTTGTGTTTGGATACGGTTGTTAAAAAAGTATCGATACTAAAATGTTGTATCTGGATACGATACTCCCCTTCTCTCTGATTTATTTATGTATTTATTTACGTTGTTTATGGTCATTAACAAGACGTAAGTCTTGAATTGCTAGATGCGGCTAACGGCTAATAATAACATGCTAACATTAATCAAATACGTCTGGCTGCAAAATCCGCCCACATCCAAGTCGGCCATTTTTATTACGTCACCAATAGGAAGATCCCAGGCGAGAAAATGGTCATTTCCTCATGGTAATATAGACATTAATTTAAAAATAGTTAAATTAATCTTTCAAACACTGATTAAAACTCTATCCATAATATTATGTTAAAATAGTGGATGTTAAATAGGTTTGTACAATAAGTCCAAACAAGTTTAACCAAAAAATATTTATTTATCACAATTATGAAAGGTTAGGGTTAGGGTTAGGGTTAGGGTTAGGGCTAGGGTTAGGGTTAGGGTCAGGGTTAGGGTCAGGGTTAGGGTTAGGGTTAGGGTCATTAATGTGGGCCACCATAACATCAGTAACAGGTCAATTTGAAACCAAAGACACTAACCAGTCAAAATTCATACATTTTCTTACATTTTGGGGTCTTTGTTTTTGTCATTGTGGTATCAAAATGGTATCGAGTATTTTCCTCAGTATCGGTATCCAGTTGAACATTTTAGTATCGCGACAACCCTAGTGTTGGATGCATTATGAAACATTAAGATTTAAAAAAATCAAACGGTTACTCTGCTAGAAATGGATGATCAATTCCAGGCTGTGTAGGAATGGGAACCTTTAGAAATACTGAGTTAGAGCACAGAATATTGTTTCTGTGTCTGACCCCTGTTTACCTTTAGTGTGTTTCCGTGTTTTCTGGACAAAGGCCAGCTGCTATATGCCTTTCAGGGATAAATAGGTCCAATAGAAGTACAGCCAAAAGCACCGTTCCGTGACCGGTGGTTTATTAAACCATAAAAAACAGAACAAACAATCAATATTTGATTATAGCCACCTATAATATTTTTTTCCCAGTCAGCTCTCTGAACTTTAGTGGCCTCTATAGAGTTCCTGGAATATGCAACTCTTGTGCATATCGCGTATTTTTAAGAAGGTAAAGGCTTTTTGTTTCTCAGCTGTACCTGAGCAGGTCATTTCTGCTTAACCCTTTAAAGCCTGATCCAAGAAAAATAGCAAGAATATTGGATTTTTTTAGTCTGAAGTCTTTCTTTGGCCCCTCAACAACATATGAAGAAAAAAAACAGAAATTATTTTGATCAAATTAGCGTGCAATAAGTAAAAAATGTATGTTGGTGTAGTCTTCTACTGGCTGTTATCAGGTATATCTGAATGTGTACAACAGGGGTTTGAGCAAAGCTTTTACCACTGAATGATGCAGAAAGTCTCAGATCCAAAAGAAACCGGATCAGATATCACACATTTGGCTTTATAGGGTTAAGACCCCCAAAACAGCTTTAAAAGACCCCCAGAAAACCGTTATAAAATCACAAAAAACCCCCCAAAAACTGCTTTAAAAGCCGAAAAATAGCTTTAAAAGCCCCCAAAAAACTTCTTTAACCATTTAAAGCCTGATCCAAGAAAAATAGGAAGAATATTAGATCTTCTACTGGCTGTTATCAGGTATATCTGAATGTGTACAACAGGGGTTTGAGCAAAGCTTTTACCACTGAATGATGCAGAAAGTCTCACATCCAAAAGACTTTAGAAACCGTATGAATCAAACATGATACATTTGGCTTTATAGGGTTAAATGAGTGGAGAATAATGAATATAAAGGGGCACATGGGCAAAAAATGTCTTTCTACACAATGAAAATCAGTATAACGATTTTACTGTTTTAACTCAATTAACTCATTGGCTGCCAAAGACGTCTATAGACGTCTTTTATGTTTTTCAACGAGAGTGTCTGGGGGACGATCTGCTAAAGCTTGTCCGTAAATATGGGCTTCTAGACAGAGTATGTAGTAACAAATTGACCCTCTAGGGGGCAGTGCCACTTTTGATGGGAGATGAGCATAGACTGTAGGCAAATAAAAAGAGACGCACGTCCAGGAAGAACGGAATAAGGTAGAAACACTTTTTTTTTCCTGATGAAAGAAGAGAGTCTACTCTTTCTTTTGGTGTGTTCGGTGTTTACATAGTCATAGCACAAACTATTCTGTGGCTCTGGAAAAATCAGTCAAAATGCTAAAAAAAACTCTGGCAGTATGGGACTCTGTTCTGAAAATGGCTGCCAGTCAATGAGTTAATGATATAGTCGGATTAAAAAAAAAAATTAAAGAAAAAAGTTTAAAAAAAAGAAGGTATAGGAAAAGAACAAAGTGGTGGATGTTATAAAAGTGGATCTATAATTGAGGTTGGGGCCTAAACAGGACAGCAGGGGCAGTGTGGCAGCTCTGTTTCCTTCCAGGAGCTATTTTTCCCCAACACTACTGGCCAGGCCATTTATTCAGCAAAACCATTAGCATACAGGAGAGGGAATTCACACTCCAGCTGGAGTGGGCAGTGCTATCAATTAACAAGCACACTTAGTATGTGTCTGAGTCACCATCAACACGGGAAAATGCTTCATGTTAGCTTAAAAGAAAATGTCACAATAGCCAACCTTTTAGTTTTTTTTTAGTCTGAATGTCTGGAAAAACAGAAAACCAACCAATGAGCAGTGTTGGGTAAGTTACTTTAAAAATGTAATCCGTTACAGTTACAAGTTACCTTGTTTAAAATGTAATTGTAGTGTAACTTTTTCGATTACTTTTAAAAAGTAATGTAACTAATTACTTTTGATTACTTTTTGATTACTTTAAGGTTTTAATGAGTATTAACCCATGATTAATTTTAGCATGTTATTATTAGCTATTGGCCGCAGCTAGCAGTTCAAGGCTAACGTCTTGTTAATGATCATAAACAATGTAAATAAATACATAAATAAATCAGAGACAAGTCAGTCGTATTCAGATACAACATTTTAGTATCTATACTTTTTTAAGTATCGATACTTTTGACAACCCTAGTCTGAAATGTAGGACATGTCCGGGAAAAAGAGGACATCTGGTCACCTACAGTTGGGTAGGCTAAGTAGGCTAGACTAGGCTAGGTCATAGACATCGATAAACGTTTGTCATGCATCAACTATTAATAAATCAAATATTAGTAAATCAATACGCTTCGTCTATCAGTGAGTTGCATATTTTGCAAAGGTTTTTCTTTATATTTAAAAAAAAAACTAAATTTGTAATTCTTAATATTTTCGGAAGTAACTGTAACTCAA